CTGGTGGTGGTGGTGATGGCGAGATTGGTGGTGATGGTGGTGAGGATGTTGAGGGTGGTGGTGACTGAGTGGTTTTGTAGATTTCTGTTTGTTTTGTTTTTTGTATGCATAGATACCCCGGTTCCCTTATATTGGGATTGCGCTTCTTGCGCGCTACGAACGAGACCCTCCTGCTCTTCCTCTTTGTCTCTTCTGCTGTGCGCTTTGATTAAACTCTTGGATTAGATCTTCTATATTCTCGAAATCTGAAGCTGGGGTCTAGGTATCCTAGGATTTATCGTAGCCTTTCTAGCGTAGCTAATATTGCAGTTGGCCTTTCTTTATTCTTTTCCCTAGAATTTTCTCAACCTCCTAAACTTCTTTGCCTTCTAGAGTGATTTTAGGCGGTTGGGTGTTATCCTCCTGATTTGCTCTAGGTTTCTATCGTTCTAAGAGTGATACATGGAACACATTATGAATGCGATAGTTTGGTGGTAATTGCAGGCGGTAAGCCTGCGTTCTGACTGCGTCTTGTACATGGAAGGGCCCTATGAACTTGCTAGACAGCTTCTTGTTTGGTTAGTAGAGTATGTTGATATGTTTTGTACTTAATAACACTAGGTCTCCTTAGTGGAAAACTTCAGGTTTGTGTTTGTTGTTGTAGTAGCGGCTCTAGTACTCTTGCGCTTTGCGCAGCTGTTCCTTGGCTGACGCGCGTGCGCTGTGCATGCGCTGCACCCTGTTAACAGCGTCTGGCACCTCCCCTTCTCGCTAGCTGTCCTCAGGTGGCATAGAAAGTAATAGGTGTTTCCTATATACCGCGTAGAATGGTGTTAATTTTGTTGATTTATAGATTGAGTTGTTGTAAGCGAACTAGGCAGTAGGGAGCAACGAAGCCTAGTTGTCCTGTGCGTCTGTAGTGAATATTCTTAGGTATTGCTCTATAGTCTAATTCTGGCGTTCTGTTTGTCTGTCTGTCTGTGGATAAAAAGCGGTGCTAAGCCTGCGCTTTACCTGTAGTTAGTAGCATATTTCTGTCTAGAAAGCAGAAGTGAAGATTAACCCTTAGTCTGACACAATACCTTTTTGAATACTATACCGCAAGATAACATAATTAAAATAGGATTCAGCAAATTGCTTTGCGTCCTATGTCTTTAAAGCGGGTATATAGATCGCCATCTTCGAGAAGCGATCGACTATCACTAGTACCGCATCAAAGACGCAACCTGAGTTGTCCTTTGCTAGTAGCAATCTAGTAACGAAATCGAGTAACACCTCTTCGAAGATATCTTCTAGGATTAGCAGCGATGCTAGCTTGCCGTGCTTACTGTGCCTTAGAGCTTTGCTCCTTTAGCATACTGCACAAGTCCGTACGTAATCCTAAACGTCTTAGCTCAGCGTTAGCTAATAGTATAGCCTGCTAATTAGCTTAAGCGTTCTACGTGCGCTAAAATAGCCTGCTATGTGTGTGTCATAGTTCTAGGACAAAATCTCCTGCCTAATAGCTAGTTCCTCTAGAACATAGATCCTACTATTGTATCTCAGGACTTAATTCTCATCGATGCGCCATACAGGCGCATCTCTGCGAACTCGAGTGCGTTTTAGTTAATTAGAGCTTGCGCTTCTCTTCTGTGCAAAGGCGTCCCTTTGCTAGAGTTAGAGCAGAACTTCTAACAACGTTTCCGACCCGGCTAATGCAGGTTCGCTACTAACTAGTACCCTAGCCAGTAAGCGTAGCACGCATAGTGTGCACCCCATAGCGCCAGCAGTAGAGACCTTCACGGCGCTGCATATACTAGCTACGTGCGTCTCACACGCGCCCACCGAGCTAGGCTCGAGCGTAGATCTTCTTACTCCACTCTGCTCTTCCTTTGCCAGAAGCTTATTCTGCAAGGTAGGCAATAACTAAGTCAGTGAGGTATTCTCCTGCTCGTAATCCACTCTTCTCGAGGGACCGTCTGCCAGGTTAGAATGGCCCAGGCGGTGCTTTATCTCAAAATCAAAAGCACCTAAATAGAGCGCCCATCGTGCTTAGCGCGGATTCAGTTTTTAGACAGCGCGTATAGAGCGCAGGTTGTTATAGTCTGTCAACACTTAGATAGTCTGTTGTGCGCCTTCTAAATAGTGTCTCTATTGTTTAAAACAATATACAATCGCCAGCAACTCAAGATCGTAAACCTTATAGTTCAGTTCTGCGCTTTGTAGCTTGCGTAAGATAAACGCAATTAGGTGCCATTTGTTGTCCTCAAATAGCTAAGACAGTATGCCAGAGATAGCAAACGTAGAGGCATCTGTTTCAAGGCGAATCGCGAGTGCGGCAACAAAATAGCGCAAGATAGGCGCACATGTAAAACAGTCTTTTAGCGCCTTAAAGGCCTCTGTAGTGATCTCGTTCTAGTAGAATACTTAATTTCCTTTAAGGATATCAGTGAGAGGGGCCGTTACTACAGCGTAGCAGGCAATAAAGCGGCGATAAAAGTTAGCGAAGCCTAGGAACGATTGTAGTTCCTTAATGCTAGTCGGGGTTAGCTACTCAACTACAGTTGCGACACGCGCAGGGTCTGCGCGTATGCCGCGCTTTGTGACTATAAACCCTAGGAAGTGTACTTCTGTTAATACGAAGGTACACTTTTTTAGGTTAACATACAGCTCCGCTTCCCTTAAGGATTAAAGTACAGCGCGTACAGCGCGCTAGTGTGTCGCAATTTCTTCGTTATACGAGTATATAAGGATATCATCTAGGTAGACAACACAAATATAGTCTAAATAGGCGCTTAAGGCCTTGTTAATGTAGGCCTAGAAGCTAGCTAGAGCATTAGTAAGGCCAAAGGGCATCACTAAGTATTCAAAATAGCCGTATCGTGTTCGGAAGGCGGTTTTCTACTCATCTCCTGCCTTGATTCTAATGCAGTAGTACGCATCTTTTAGGTCGAGGGTCGTATAGTATCGTGCGCCTAACAAGCGATCTAGGGTCTCCCCAATTAATAGGAGCGGGCAACAATCCTTAATAGTAACATTGTTAAGACCCTAGTAATCAACGCAAAGGCGAAGAGTACTATCTTTTTTAAGTACAAATAATATAGGAGCTCTAGCAGGGCTAGTACTGTGTCAGATCCAACCTCGCCGTAGGGCTTCTTCGATGTATTCGCGGAGCAGTTGTAGCTTACGTAAAGAGAGGGTGTAGAGCAGACCGTAAAGCGGCTCTTTGCCTTCTACAATAGGGATTGCATAGTCTAAACTTTTGTATTGTAGCAGGATCTCTGCGTTGCGGTTGTCAAAGACATCCGCATATTCTAATAGTTCATACAGGATGCGAACCTCCTGCGCTGCGTTTACATAGTACACGCGCGCCTCTAGTTCTAACTCTGCGCCACTCAATAGAAGCGTTCCTAGTAGATAACTGTCTAAGTTAATGTGCTCGGCTTCCTTAAGGAGTTCCTTTGCTAATACTAAGTGTATTTGTGCTTTAGTGTATCCCTAACGCCAAGTTTAGCGTCTACAGTCTATAGTAATGTCTTCTTGTTTTAGGAATAGGTTGCCTAATAACAAGGGACAACCTTCTTTGTCCACTCCGTACACAGTAGCGTTAGTCCAGCGCTCTACGCCGTTATCGTCAGTGAGGCGCAGGTTCAGCGCATAAGCGGCATATGTGTCCTGTCGTTGTAGGCCAATCCACCCTAGCCTAGGGAGTTCGGCTTCCTTGAGGGGAGTAAGACCCATCTCTACAGCGCTCCTTTAGCTAATTAAACTAACATCAGCTTGTAGATCTAGGATTACCCCTAACTTGTGTTCTAAAGCTGTGTCTACGCTTGCGTAACACA